GTGCTTCTAGCTGGTCGGGCGGCGTGCACTTCACAACTGGTAAGTGACCTGGCTCGCTCCCACAGAAAGCCGCTGTGTGGGAGATCACAGGGGCCGAGTTCTCCAAGTCCGAGGCTCACACGGCCGATGGCATCTCCATCCGCTTCCCTCGCTGCACCCGAATCCGGGACGACAAGGACTGGAAATCTGCCACTAACCTCCCCCAACTCAAGGTGCCAGCTGCCTGTCTGCTTGACCCCTGTCCCAGCCTGTTCACAGGTCCTGTCTTCCTTTCCCCATTCCACTGAGACGGGGCAGGGAGCACAGGGAGGGACCAGAGCTGCTGCCTTCACAGCTGCCTGCTGCGGGCGGGCCCCAGGCGCCATCCGTGCCGCTGCTCGAGGGAACCGGGCCAAAGTCTAGAAAAGCACCAAGGAAGCCAGCTTGTCCTCCTTCATCTTTCGTCCCTTTTTGTTCCCCTGCCACCCGTGTCTAACACAGACTGCACAGACCGCCTCTGCAGTTAGTGGCTGGGAAGGGCTCGACCCCACCTGCCATCCCCTCCCCTCCGCAGGAGCTGTACCAGGTGTCCAAGGAGAGGGCGGACTTCCCCGTGGTGGCAGCAGATGAGGGGAGCTCCCCCACAGGCGGCAGCAGCGGCGAGAACGAGGGCGCCTCGGGGCCCGCCGCGACTCAGAAGGCCAAAGCCTCTCCGGAGCAGCCCTCCGCCGGTGCCAAGAAGGCCGGAAGGAAGCGGCGTCACTCCAGCAGCGGAGGTGGTACGGAGAGGGGGGCGCTGGGGTGGAGCGTGTGGTGTGGGCGGAAGCTCCTGCTCCAGCGCTCAGTCCACGCTCAGTCCGCGGGATCCTGTCCACGCAGCCGACCTTGACTGTGTCCCTGTTGTGCGTCCAGCCGGGGGCCAGAAGCCGTTCTGTTGGGCACCCTCCCTCTGCTCCGAAAACCTGGTGCTGGACCGGGAGAGCCCATCTGGCCTAGGCATTAGCTACCTCTGAGCGCTCCCCACCCCCCGCCCCTGCCCCAGTGCTCACAGCAGGGCAAGGCCTGGCCCTCTGCCCCCCTCCCTCTGGGTCCTCATTCCAGGCTCTCCCTGCAGGCCACACGCTGACTGTGGAGCCCCCCCCTGTGAAAGGGGGAGAGAGGCCAGGCGGCAAGACTCCTGTGAAGGTGTCTGACGAGACCCCGTGCGAGGCAAAGAAGCGCAAGGTCTCTGACAAGACTCCATGCCAGGCAAAGGTGAGGGTAAGGATAGGCCTCCATGCGAGGGCGGTTCGGCCCCATGTTCCTGACGCTCTGCACTTGAACATTGAGAGCTGAGTCAAAGTGTTTGGGGGACCAATGGCTACACCCCCTCCCGTCCTGCAGCTGCTCTCCCCTGTGCCCTCTCGTTGCCTTGCAGAGGCAGCGGGCCAGTGAGCAGACAGGAAGGAGGTAGCCAGCCAGCCCAGCAGGGAGAGGCTTGCAGGGACCCGCCCAACTGCCGTCCCCAGGCACAGTTTGCATTAAAGGGGAGAAAGCCCTGTCTGGTGTGGGCGTGCAGCAGTGAGTTCCTGCTCAGGGCAGGGCCGGCCAGCCAGGAGGGGGAGGGTGCCGATTAGCTTCGTGACTGTCCCCTCACCCGAGAAGCCCTTTCCCTTCTGTACTCCCTGGTCAGTCTGACTACAGCCGCCAGTCCTGGGGGAGCTGGCGGCCAAAGGGCAGATAGGGAAGCCAACACTGGGTCACTGTGAAGTGCGGCCGTGCCACCCCACAGCCCTGCCAGCCACGAGGAAGCAGAGGCCTTGCGGCTCAGGCCCCCAGGCCCCTCCACAGTAGGGGCTAGGCTCTCGGCCCCCCGGTTTGTGTACAAGTGGGTGCTCGATTAAGTGGCGTCCCTGCCTGCCAGCCCCCGACTGGCTCTTGGAGACACCCTTTCCCCTTGCCCAGGCCCCCAGTGCAAGACCGTCCCCTCTCCCTGTCTCCTAGGCAGGGATCAAAGTGGCAGTCCTACGTACTCTGAAGTAGCTGGGAGATGGGGGTTTTAGGCCTGTGCCTTTCCTCCAGTCAACTCCGCTCGTGTCCTGACCGGCAGCTAGACTCCCCATGTGTCCGGCAGCTGTTCTAACCCTGCCCTCTGGCCTGTGCTCATCAACTGGGAGACCCCCCTGCCCCCAGACTGAATCAGCCCCACTCCTGACCCCACCCTGACCCTGTGCTTGGCAGGTGCTGCTGGACATCTTCACTGGGGTGCGGCTGTACCTGCCACCCTCCACACCTGACTTCAGCCGTCTCAGGCGCTACTTCCTGGCATTCGATGGGGACCTGGTGCAGGAATTTGACATGGCCTCAGCCACACACGTGCTGGGCAGCAGGGACAAGAACCCTGAGGCCCAGCAGGTCTCCCCAGAGTGGATTTGGGCTTGTATCCAGAAACGGAGGCTGGTAGCTCCCTGCTAGGGCCTCTGCCTCCCCTCCCCTGGGGCCCTGCCCCGCCCCACCACGGGTCGGGGCGGACTTTCTCCTCCAGGCAGTGTCTTCCAAAGCCCCCACCCACGCATGGTCTCTCCCTGCCAGGGGTCAGGTGCTCTGGTGCCACCAGTGAAGCCATTTCTCCTGCTGCTTGTATAGATCTTTCGGATCTGGGTGCTGGTTTTGTCATCTGTTTTCTTTAAAAAGAAGCTTTTATTCCTTTTCTAAATAAAATACCTTGCAATTACCTTTGTCCTGTCCCCCCCCCCCGCCCAGTGATTAAGGAGCTAAGTGAGGGCTGGGCTGTACCAGAGATCTGTCCCCGAGGCCGAGCCCCACGACGGTCTGCCCTCCCTCCTCGCCCACCCCCGTCACCGTTCCGCACAGGCTCGTGTCAAAGCTGTACTGCAGAGACTGTCCTCAGAACGCTGCTTGTGTTTGGCAAACCTGTACTCCACCTGGCCCTTTGCCCAGGAGTGAAGCCACACGGGAGAACACAGAATGCTCCGTATGAGGCCATCGCCCGTGCTGTCCTGTCACGGGGCAGGTCTGCTCGGAAGGGGGCAAGTGGGGCCCGTGGCCGTCGGGGCCATTCAAGGCTCCCAAAGGATCCGCCTCCCCAAAACCCTGGAAATAAGACTGGACAAATCGTCTGCTTACAAAGAAAGGCTCCTTCCTTGGCCACCCAAGGTTGATTTACTTGAATAAAAGAACAATTTACTGCAGACGAGTGCTGTTCAATATAACTTTCTGTGGCAATGGAAATACACAGTACACCTCACAGGATGAGCCAGCCGTGCTGGGCTGCTGAGCCTTTGAAGTGTGGCTCCCACAACCGAGGAGTTTCCATGTGACCAGACTACCACACTGCATAGGGCACCTACGGACAGACTGGTGCAAAGCCAAGTCCTGAAATGTAGCAGCCACAACCTTCCACAAGTTACCAGCTAGGCCTCCAGACCTTCCAAGGGGACTGGGATGGGGACTGACTGCACCTACATCACAGGGTCACTGGGAGGCAGGCGCAGGTGAGCTCACTGTAAGTTCTGCATGTCCTGCACAGCGCTTGGCGCTGCCCCATGGAGGCCCGGCCTCTACCCACGACTCATCAGGCCACTTCCCCGGCCTCCGGCTGCTGTGACGGCTCACACCAGCCAGACACAAAGCTCTCCAGGAGACCATCTGGTCAGATGCTGGCTCCTGAAGGTCAGTTCTGTTTTAACCAACTGGCAGGCTGGGAGTCAGGTGGAGACTCAGCGAGCGTCTGGGCCTCTGAGACAGGACCTCTGCCTCCCACCAGCGCTCCTCTGGCATGCAACTTGGAGGCCAGCTTTAACCTGACTGACCTGGGTCTCCACCTGCAGGTCCCAGTGTGTGGGGACGAAGGGGTGGAGTGGGAGGTGCTGCCCTGTGTCTAGCTCAGAACACTGGGTGGTTTTGATAGGCACCGTTCAGTCTGGCTCCAGTACCGAGAATAATACAGCTCTTCTATCTTATCGTCAACGCGGACAAAAGCTGCCCCGCTGAGCAATGACCTACTTGAGTTTCCACCCCTTCTCCAGCTTCCTAAGGGCAACTGGACAGAGCAGCAGGACACAGCTCTCCCTCGATGTTCTGCCAAAGGGCACTGGTCCTGTCCGTGGCCCGCCCGACCCCGCCCCACCCGTCCTCACGGGTGCACCCACACTCCAGGAGCAGCCTCACAGCACAGGGGCGTTTTGCTGGGTGGCGCCTTCTGTTCCCTGTTCCAGGTGTTCTGCCTGCTTCCTTCCAGGCTTTCTGGCACGCTTCTCCTGGCTGCTGAGATGACGCCATCGGCACAGCCCCGTATCCCTCAGTGCACTTCCACAGAACTCGAGCTTTCGTTCAGCTGTCGCTTGGCGGCAGACAGAGGCCACACTGGGTGCTCAACGGGTCAGTGGCCCAGAACAGTGAGGACAAAGGGCTACGGCCCAGCCTCGAGTCTGCATGCCCTTTGGACAAGTCTGTCTCCGCAGTCCGGGGGCAGACCTGCGCGCACTTGAGCTCTCCCAGCAGCTGCTCCCGGAGCCCCTCCCCGGGCGCTCAACAGGAGGTGCGCAGGGGCTGTGTCCACACAGCAGTCGGCTACGGGCTGGGCCGGCCTCCGGGTCCCACTCTGGCCACCGCAGCTGTATCCGAAGCCACTGTCCCTCTCTCGGGGCCACTGGCTATCCTTGGGCCCCGCTCCACACCCGTCCTCAAGGCCCACCCGTCACCGAATCATGGTCAGTGTCCAAACTGTGTGCTCCCTCCTATGAGGGACAGTGAGTCCTCCCACCCGGCCCCACCCCGGCCCAGGCTGTCCCTGGCCTCTCGCGCACACCAGTGAGACCTTAAACAAGCCTCCACACTCCGCTTCTGTCTCCTCGTCTGCTGGACAGGGCTGTCTCGACCAAAGCCCCACGGGACATGGCCCGAGCGTCCCTAAGAACCACCCTTCTCTGAAGAGCGCAGCTGTGCGCGCCCGGGTCCGACCAGCAGCGGGCGGCTCCTGTCGACCCTGACTGTCAGGCCTCCAGCAGCTGCACCCGACAGGCATCTGCACAGAAACTTTATTACAAAATTATAAAGCAGGGTTGTGTGACAAAAAAATACACATCTGGGTCTGTTTAAACACCCACGTCTGAGAATCAGTATAAGCCACCTGTAGTAACACATTCACACCCAAAAAATTTCAACAAATGTATACAGCATGTATGGAGCCCTAATTCCTGTACAGCTTATTCTCACCAGTTTGGATCCAAATATTCCAACATCACGAAACAGTCAGCTCTTCAAGCTTCGTTAAAAAGTCTCAACCAACGTTTCTGGACAATCACAGCAAAAGCCAAGGAATAATTGGAGGAATTGGATGTTTCCATGATAATAAAGATCAAAGACCCATGAGGGGCAGGAAGGAGCATTCAAGGATAAAAATCAAGTGTTCTACCTAAGGTCAGATAGTAACTGAAACGAGATCTTGGAATTTCCAACTTCTTTTTTGGTGTAATGAAGATACCAAAAAAAACCCAAAAACACCCGGGGTTCCTAAGACACCTTTTTTCTTAAAAGAAAACCTTCACCAAGAGGTTAGAGGACTTAAAGGCACATTCTTTCTCCCAAATGAGTAAATGGTAGCGGTTCTAATTCTTACCGAGGTTACTAGCCAACCATTAGGATACGACTTTTGACTCACGATTAGGAGGAAAACGGGGAAGTGGGGAGAGGGAAGGCCTTCACGGAGAAAGCAGATCTGAAGTGGGGAGAGAGCTGCTTCCACCCTGAAGTTCTTGCTAGATCTTAAGGAGGTGCACGGGCCTGTTTCACAGTGGGACTGAGGAGCAGCTGAACCCTTTGCTAACCTGGTGGGCGCCACCAACTACGGCATTTACCGCCCAGCAGGAAAACGTCTTCACCAGGAATCGTGATTCTCCCCGTTTCTATAAAGAAATAAAATCATCCAGCACTTGGTATGGCGGCGAGGTAGGTGGCCCAGGGTTGAGCTGACAACTACTTGATGGAATTCGGTTTCCCCAAAGGGAGACTCGGACTTGACAGTGGAGGGAAAGCACAAACACGTCTGTACAGATAAACAGGTCCTCTCGGAGGTCTTCCCACTGCTTTGCAGAGTCATGACTGGTGACCTTGGCTGCATGGGGTCGGGGCAGGGGTCCTGCCAAGGCCCCCTGGTGTTTAGGGGGGGCCTAGTTCGTCCCCGGGTAGCGGCAGCGTGAGCAGCTCTCCGACAGCATGTACACTGTGCTCGGCCAAGCCCTCCGAGCAAACTGCTCCCTGGCCCTCTGGCTCCCCGGTGGTGTGAAGATCCGAACGGGCTCCGGAACACGACCTGCTCGCTGCATGGTCATCCCTAAAGAGCCTGGAGAGTGCGTCCTCCTCGCCTGGCCCCAAACGAGCAGGCTGGGAAAGAGGAGTGCGAGTCCCGACCAGCCTGGGGAATTAGGACTTCCAGCTGTCTGCTCGAGGGCTGGAACCAACTCATTTAGCACCTTCCGATGTGTCTCAGGTTCTCCGTGTCTCCCACATTGGGTCTCCGGGAACTCAGGAGTCTGGCAGAAGAGCCAGGTCCTTTGCCTCAGTGCCAGGCCCTGAGTGAGAGCATGTCTACACGTCCGCGGGACAGGGACTCCACCCTCAGGGGACAGTGGCTGAAAACTCCTGCCTGTTGGAGAAGTCCACATTACACAAAGCCATCGCTTCCACCCAACGCTTTTCCTTTGCTTTCGAACTAGAATCAGGGAGGGTACTAAGGCGGGCCCCCAGGGAGCAAGCAGAGAGGGCCACGCACCATCTCACGCACAGACACGGGACTTCCCAGCTGTCAGGGGCCAGAGGCTTTGTGGGCTCCCAAGGTCAGGTTAGGAGACTGAGAGCTTCTCACCCAAACACTGAAGGAAGCAACTTTTAATGCCTTTGAATAGCATTTGTGTTTCATTCCTCACCAGAGAGAACTCGGCTGGTCCAAACTCTGTCCTAGGGAGGATCGTTCTGGGGCTGACAAGCTAACACCTTTTTGGTCTGAAGAGACAAATGGATTTTAGGCGACGCAGCAAGAAACTTTAGCAAAGGTCGGTTAAAGCGAGAAAGCCCATGAAACCAGAAATAAACCCAAATGTGCTGGGGAGGAAGAGAACCATTTCTACCAGGACTTCTGATTGGTGAAACACAGACAAGCAGCTCAGGGGGCTGGGTGGGGTACAGGGGGGAGGGAGGAAGATATGATCCGAGTTCTGGAAAGTCTTCTCTCTTCATCAGTTACCATCGTCACCCAAGACCAGAGAAACGGGGACTTGCCCAAGCGATCTGTACCAGTTCGCACCGCCTCGGGCCCCACCAGCCAAGAGGCGCACCTCCATGGCAAGGCAGGTGTGCCCAGAGGTGACACAGTCTCTCTGCTTGACCTGGCCTTGGGAACAATGCAGATACTCCCGCCAGCCCTGAGCCCAGACACTGCACGCCGTGTCCCTGTAAGGCACTGAAGAAGCCAGTACGAGCCCTCAGGACCGGAAGACGTGCACGGCCCGGATCACGTACTGCCGGCAGATGGGACACTCGTTCATGCGCTTGCCGCACTTGGTACAGGTGACCATGTGGCCGCACTCCAGCAGGACGCAGTCGATGGGCGAGTCCATGCAGATCCGGCACAGGTTCTCCTCCAGGCTGGGCGGCGCCACGCCCCCTGCACGGTCAGAAGAGGGGCAGAGTAAGGGCGTGGGGTGGGAGAGAGCCCGGACACGCTGAGCGAACCCCACAGCCTGCACGCGGCCCCTCCACCAGGACTCCAAGAAAACGTCCCCCTGGAACCCATCCCAGGTGCTGCTTTAATCTGCGCCTCTACAGGTCGGGTCACAGATTTGCAGGATCAAGTACCTGGAGATCAAATACATCCCAGAGTATGGGAACTAAACAAGGGAAAGTCTTCAAAGCTTAAAAGGAATAATTTTCAGACAATTGATGCTGTAATATGTTGAGTGAATGGCATTCAGAGACTCATTATCCCTTGAGGCAGAACATACTGAAAAGATCAAAATGGTCCAGAAAAGTTTGGATATAAAGGGAAATGTAATGAGTGATTGAGGGTTACAAGGCTTATCTGTGAACCTGACCCCAATTTAGTAAGGCCAAGGGTCGGGGGGCCTCCTCTGCTGTCCCACCCCTGGGCTTCCTCAGAACGTCCTGGTGGGAGAGCCCACCAAACACTGAGCTCCCTCCTCTGTGCTGCCCCCAGAAGACGGCACTCATGGCCCACACCTGCTCACCACGCTGGGGGCACTTGAGTTTGCCTTCTTATCCCCCCACTACACTAGGAGTTCTGTAATTCAACAAACCCCTTCAATTTCTACAACTACATACTTAGCGTCTGCTGTGTGCCCGAGGTCAGACATTCACCTTGGAGTCCCCAGAACACCAGCCACGTGGTGGCTGTTCCCTGAACATCCGGTGAGTGAGCCTCTCACACCGACTGACTGCGCCCAGGCACCAGGCCGAGCCCTCAGAGCTCTCCATGTTTCAACTCACTGAATCCTCACAAAAACTGTGAATTACCTACTCTTACTACCCATTTTACAGACAAGGCAACTGGGGTCAAAGAGTTGCCCACGGCACACGCTGCCAAATAGAGAAGCCAGGAGGCGAATCCAGGCAGGGGCTCTCTGGGCAAGTGGCCTCAGGGCGGGGACTACCCAGAGGACATTCACCCCCCCGAGTAGAGCGTTCCTGTAACAGTCCACTCTCTTGTCTGAGTGGTGAGAAACGGCCAGCCTGGCCAGCGCCCGGGTTTGGCTGCACAAACAGAAACCCCTTCGTGTCCAGAAACGCAGCCCCGAGCCAGCACATCTTAAATGGAAGCCCAAAGCAGGTGGCCAGCACAGGGACCGGACGGCACCGCGCACCGCTGCCCTCCCACAGGGGAGCTCCCCGCACTCCACGCACGTCCTCTCCCTGCTTCCCGGACTGCTCGAACTCAGGACACACTGGAGCAGGCTGGCTGTGAAAGGTCCAGAGGCCTGTTCACCCCCGAGGGGCTGCCAGCCCCGCAGGGAAGGTGCGGGAAGGGCTGGACCACACGAACACCCCCAGGAGGCAGGAATCACCGACCGATTTCATCAGTGATCCCTTCTCCCAGGAACGGTCGTCGACTCAGGTGCCAGCATCTCCCAAGGAACCAGAAAAAGAGAGGAGGACACCAAGGGGACTGGCGTGAGTTCGGCGTCACGGCGAGGGGCAGGCGGGGAACTCCGGGGGGTTTGGGGGAAGAAGTGAAGAGAACCGACTCTCCATCATCTGTCCACCAGAAGACTCCATCCCACTCTGAGCAAAAGGCGGGTTCACTACATATAAACATGGGGAGTCTTCCAAGTTGTAAAATCACTCATTACATTTCCCTTTGCGGGCCCCCGCACTCCTCTGAGAAGACTCCCTCGTGAGGACGAGCGTCACCACAGAGCCTCGACTGAGGCCAAGTTCTAACCTAGCCCGGCAGGCTGGACCGCAGCCCAGACCCGGTCCTAGTCCTGCTTTCTGGGCCTTCCCACGGGCTTGGGGCGGTCTTCCACACACAGGGGCAGCGTGGCAGCTGAGGGGGTTATGCATCTTGCATCTAGAGAGCACCGTGCGGAACACCTGTCCCGATCTGTCCCCAGAGCAGCTCCAGCCAATGTCTGGCCTTGTACTGACAAAGCCCTCTCCTTCTGGTTGACACCAGGAGCCCTGAAGGCGCACACAGCCCAGACCGGACTGCAAACTGCAGGGGAAGGAGCGCCTTGGCACCGGGAGCACGGAAAGGAACCGAGTGGGACACACGCACCATGCACTCGGTTAAACGTTTCACACAGGCTGGCTTCTGAGCCCGGGCAAGCCAGGAAGTGCCCACCAGTCTGCCCCAGGTGTGCTGGCCCCTCCCTCCCTTCACGGGGAGGGAGTGGGGAATTCGCAAGGATGCCGAGAAGCCCGTCCTCCGGGAGCCCCCCACTCCCTCTGTCCCGATGCCGATCGGCTCCGAAGTCTTAGCCTCTCAGCAGCAACTGGGGTTGAAGGACAGGAGGGACAGAGGGACAGAGAGGCTGAGTCCCTTCCCAACAGAGACAACTACGTACCGTTCTGGTCTTCGGCACCGCACACTGGAAAGGAAGGAGAGAGGAGACGTCTGAATCTGCGAGCAGAGCCCCAGCCACCCGCCTCCATCGCTGGCCTCCGGCTGTCCCTGCTGGGAACCAGATGGCCAAGCGCCCAGACAGACACCCGCCCTCCCCGCCCCCCACGCTGAGAACCACAGAAAGCTCCTGCTGGGGGTCCCAGCTGGTCTTAGAAAAGGTTCCCACTGGTCTGGACGACCAAGGCTGCCAAGGAGGAAGGACACCGCACCCAGCGCCCTCAGGCTGGCACTCCCGTAGGGAAGAGGGAACAGTGCTCCAGCAGCCAGGGCGTCTGCATGAGGCTCCCAGGCAGGGCCATCTCCTACTCCCTACGTACTCAGGACGCCAGGGACACTCTGGGGACGACCCCAAAGGCAGGAGTGAGTCTGACCAGGTGATGAGTCAGAGGTCCCCTATCTGATGAATTTGAGCAACTGGGAGGGCAGAGCCTGATTCTGTGTCAGCATGTGAGGGGCCTAAGTGTTGACCTGCAGGAGAGGAAATGAGGGGAGGGGAGGGGGAGGGGAGGGGAGGGGAGGGGAGGGGAGGGAGGGGAGGGGGGGGGGGGGAGGGGGGGGAGGGGAGGGGAGGGAGGGGAGGGGGGAGGGGAGGGGAGGGGAGGGGAGGGGAGGGGAGGGGGGAGGGTTCTAAGGGAAATCGTTTCAGGGACATCTGCGTTCAGAGCAGCTGAACACCCTTCTCTTCTGCAGGACTCTGCCTTTACTAGGGTAGCATCCACCACGGATCAGTCAGAGGGGGACACGACTGAAAGGATTCTTCCCCGACCTCATTTGCCCACGGGCCCAGGTGTCTGACTGGGCGTCGCGTGAAAACGATGCCACGGAGGAGGCTGTAGGGAAGGAGCAGAAGAGAAGCCGGAGCACCGCCTGACACACCCTCTTCCTCACAGGGAGTGTGCGAGGTTCGCTCCCTCGTCTCCTGAGTATGGTGGAGGTGACGTACAGTGGGAAAGGCCATGAACCTGACCAGGAGCTCCTCGGGTCTGGGCTCTACAGTAGAAGGGGCATGAGTTGTGCCTACTCCACGGGCCGCTCTGAGGACTGAACAGAAGTGTACGCCGCCAAACCCGGTCCTGGCACTCGACTCCGAGTGACGGCTGTTACTGGGGGCGCTAAGGCGTGCGGTGGCTCCTCCCTTGGAAGATGCTGTCCCGCTTCAGGGTGAGAGCAAGCACTTGGGGACTCTGTGGGGCTGCCACCCAGACGGCCCTCCTCACCCAGGTGCTGGAGGCCCTTTTGATCCTTGTACAGCCGCGTGACCCTCTCCATCAGCTCCCATTTCTCGCAGCAGCCCTTGTAGTTGACGAAGTTGCGAGCCAGGATCTCTTTCAGCTGCCGCACAGTCAGGCCTTCGATGTCTTCCAGGTCGGTCAGGTCAGACAGAGACGCCCTCCGGCCCGGGACGGAGCTGTCCTCCGAGTCCACGGACTGAGAAGGCAAAGATGGGATCAGTGGGTTCAGCCCAGAACTCCCCACGCTCTCTCTCTGAGGACCCCGACCCACCCAGCACCCCGTATTTTTGTTAACCGACCTCCAAAGCAGGAGCGGAGGCAGGGAGTCCCTGGCAGGGTGCTCTGCACTGCGAACAGACCCCAGTCTCCTCCTGACCTGGGTCCTGTGCTCGGGCACAGCCAGCCACAAACCGAGCAGTGGGCACCTGCCAGAGTCAAATGCCCCCGATTCTGACCCCCAGCTCCTCCGCTGATTAATGCTCAAGAGAACCGGGCAAGCTGCGCCCCGCTCCAAGCCGTCTGCCCCTGCATGGAGGAGGCAGCAGTCCGGGCACATGGGGTCCCCATGAAGACTACACGGGCGGCACAAGAACCCGCAAGTGTGCTGCTGGCCTTCCTCTCTCCAGTGAGTTCTGCTTTCCCACGAAGGGGAGACTTCTGGGCAAGCACCCCCTGCAGGTAACCCTGACCGCACTGGACTGGCCCCAGCATGACCGAGCCTGAAACACTCTCGCCTCTCCTCCCGACAACGGCTGCCGTGTGCCAGCAGCGGTGGAACAGTGAGACGTGCACAGCGTCACCAGGAGCCTGTGCTTAGGCAGCTCCCAGAAAGTCTGGAGACTGGACACTACAGGCCACGAGGCACCCCAGTGAGCACTGTGACCTCCCAACTCCACACTGACGCACTAACAGCTTTGAAAGGGACCCAACGCTGAACTCCACCCGACTATTGGCACAGACTGGGTCTTCTCTCTCCAGAGTCTGCTCAGAGGCTCCTAACAAAACCCTAGGAAGAGCAGTGGAAGGGTCAAGGCAAAGGCACAGACCCACAGAGGGCCCACCTGGGTCTCGTCCTCAGCGGGCGCTCTGGCTGCGCTCTCCAGGTATACGGGTTCTCCTTGATCCTGAGACACATGGCCGCTGGCCTGTGGGAAGAGAAAGTGCCATCACATCCGGAAACGTCCCTGCGATCTGCACAGCACTGGCCTCTCCTGAGCTCATACCGTGTCCCCAGTGGCCTGCTACCTCCCCCAGCAGGCTGGGGCCTCACACCACAGTGGGACAAAGGCCGGCTCCCCAACGCTGACTGTGTCAGGCAGAGGGGCAGCTCGAACGATCCCCACTCCAGAGCAAGGGTGCGTCCATTCTGCCGCCCACAGGATGGCATCCACTCGCTTGCCCGCCGTGAATTTACTCTTGGCCTGAACGCCCCACATGACAGGAAGGTCATGTGTCCACTGCAGGAGACTCCTCTCTGTCCCTGAACTTTTTCCTCGACACTCACCCCAAGATGCCCTTCCTGTAACTTCTACCCGCCATCCTCGGTCCTGCCCCTTGGACCAACGCCCACTATTTTCTCCCAAACCGCTCGCGTCATGCCCTCCCTTCCTCCACACTCCACCTCCCTGGCTTCCTCACTGGGCCCGGCTGAAACGACGTTTCCAGTCCGTCACTGCCTGTCCCCTCCCTCTGGCCTGTCACTGCTCTCATCCTGGAAATGTGCCCAGCCAGCAGGGCCCACTCTTAGTAAGAGCTGTCTTAAAACCTGGTCCAAAATTTATTTTAAAGCATCTGAGGGTCTACTAGCCTCAGACAATACAAGACACATGCCTGTGCTCTTCCTGCTTGCTCAGAACAGGAGCCTCCCAAGCCCATTACCATTTAAGCTACAAATCCCTTAACCAGACCCTCTTCACCCACTGCTCCCTCAAGGCAAAGGGCCTCCTGTGAGCCTGGAGCAGGGGCTGTCTGAGCTCACAGGCCTTCGCCAGGAGCCTCTGGAAGCACCACTGCAGGGACAGCCTAGGCAACCAGTCACCCGCTGGCCTAGCCCCTCCTCCCAGACTAGGGTACGTATATGGAGCTAATTAAGAAGAGGCAAGCAACCACAGTGCACACGAAATGCAGAAATGGCCACCACCTGGAAATGCCGGGTGAGACGTCATACAGCACGACAGGTACAGGGAAGTACCCAAAACGACGTCTTCAGAAACACACCCCCGCCCCCGCTGCCCCTCAGCTTTATGCAGGTGTGGTGCGGACCTGGACTCACAGAAACCTTTCAGAGCCTCACCTGCTCCTGAATAGACGGCTCTGCGCGTCCTTTTTCTCTCAGAAAGAGAAACTGGATCTCGGGCTGCACAGCACGTTGCCTCTGCCCACTGGCTAAATCGAATTCTACAACTAGAAGCTGCCCGCAGTTCCACTTACTCCACACACTCCCTCCCCTGGCAACCAGGACACCCGAGGTACAGGACAGCGCCCTGGCAGAGCCCGCCCTGCGAGAAGATTCACGTTCGGGGGCAGCTCATTCGCGCAACCGGCAGGTGGCCTTGCACGGGTTACTGAATTAACTTCCCCCATGTCTGTTTTCTGGCTTGCAAAACGCAGATCTCACGAGAACAGGGAATGCCAGTGGACCCGAAGGCCCTCTGAAAACATCGGTGGATCAGCGGTGGGCCCGACTGGACCTAGTGCGGGCTGTGACCTGCAGGCGCAGTCTGAACACTTCTGGTCAACGACAGGAAGCTTAAAACCTCCTCCGTTCATTGCAGACCCACCTGAAGGTTCTTCAGGGAAAGGCACTTTCCTCAAGTTAGCCTCCTAGGTCCCCACAAACAGAGAGGAGCGCCCAACCAAGCAGAGGGAGGCAGTCACAGCAGGAGGAAGAACCTGTCCAGCAGACAGAGGCAGAGCTCAGGAGCGGGGTAAGCGCCAGGTGGGGCGAAGGCACGCTCGGGAGGACACGCGTTTCCTGCAGGTGAAGGTGGCTGCCACGCTGGCCTTAGGCCCCAGGGCCCATTAGAGCCGGATCCGGGGCCCGGTCCTGGCAGAGGAGGCGGCACCGACAAGGGACAGCAACGGTCCGTGTCTGTGGGCACCGCCGCCCTGAGTGCTGCGCCAGCCCCGAGCAGCACGGAGCCCTTCGGACCTGACGTCACTCCAGCCACCCTCACCACCTCCTGGCAAGTACAAAAGTGGCCTGAGATTCGAACCTCGCTTTGTTGGGGAGGGCTCGCAGTGCACCCGGAGTGACCGAGAGCCAGTGACAAAGTCAATGTGGAGACTGGATGGACCTTCCGGGTCCTAAGCCCCACCGAGGCACTTGGGTAAGCACACCTACAGGACGCCATCGCTCGTCACACAGTGCGCAAATCCCCTGGCCCCATCCCTTGGCTGGTCTGTGCGTCTGCCTTCCCTCTGGGGCTGAGGGTGAGGCTATGCTCTCTCCTCTGGTCCCTTCCGTGCCCGGTGCACCATCCGGTCAGTGCGCTGCGCGCGGCCGACCCCTCTGGGCCCCACCGGGACGGCGACAGGCAGCTTACTGAGCAGCACCGGCCGACCACTGCCCTGCCCGGGGACTGGCAGGGGAAGCAGGGTCCGTCCTCGTCTCGGTCCCTGTGCTTCCCTGCTCGCCCTTCCTCCACACGCTGCTTTTTACCCTATGTGCCTAGGGTGGTTACTAAGCAACCGAGTGCCCTGCCTAGCTAAGAAAGACCACCACAAAGGTAAGTGGGAGGGCAATTGTAGTAGAACCAAATTTGGAGAGTTAACTGGGTTTTCTCAAAATATTTCTGGGTCCTGACTGGTGTGGCTCAGTTGGTTGGGCGTCATCCAGCAGCACAGAAGGTCACTGGTTCGATTCCCAGTCAGGGCACAAGCCTGGGTTGCGGGTTCAGTTCAGGTCAGGGCACTTGTGAGAGACGACCCATCGATGTTTCTCTTTTTCTCTTTTTCCTGCCCGTCCCCACTCTCTAGAAATAAAACCTTTTTAAAAAAATATTTCTGGACCGAGATTAAAGTTTCGATGTCTGACTGGGATACATATGTATTCAAAACAAACGGAGCCCTGGCTGGGTGGCTCAGTTGATTGGAGCCTTGTCCCATGCACCAGAAAAGGTTGTGGGTTCAGACCCCGGTCGGGGCACATACAGGAGGCAACCGATCCATGTTTCTCTCTCACTTCAATGTCTCTCTCTTTCCCCTGACCCCTGTCTCCCCATTCCTCTCTCTCTCTAAAATCAATAAACATATCCTGAGGCAAGGATTTAAAACAGCACAAAAAACCCTGGTACCATGCGTTGTCATCTCTGAACAACGCCCGAACCCGAGGGTGAGGTCGAGAGAATAATCGCTTGCGCACGTACACACTGACGCTCACAGCCCACCCCCACGATGCAGGCGGGGGGACCGAGCCCTGAGACCAGCAGAGACCGCGGAGGGGCCGTACCTGCCGGTGTTCCTGAGCCTGGGCCGCGGGGGCAGGGGCGGCCTGTGTGGGCGGAGAAGGGAGGCCGGGTGAGGTAGGCGGACCCGCGCTGGAGCGGGGCTGGCCCAGGAAGGCCTGCTGCTCCGGGAAGTCCCCGGGGGAGGCCGGGGCTCGAGTCCTGCCCTCCTGGGGGGTCACGGGCTGCTGGCCGAGCACCAAGAACACGAGCTCCTCCTTCTCCCGGCACGTCTCCGTGGAGATGTCATGGAGGTTGAGGTAGTCTCTCAGGTCCTTCACCTTCATCTTCATGAGCTCCTCCCGCTGAAAGGCTGTTGCTTGGAATCGCTGGCAGAGAAGGCAGAGCCGGGGCCCGGTCCCCACTTGGCTGGAACAGGTCGCGCAGAAGTTTTTCTTACAGTCCAGGCAGGTCTGCTGCTTAGAGCAAGAGGCAGAGGAAAGCATGTGAGACCGTGAGCACAAGCCGGGGCGGGCTGGGGGCTCGGGGCTGCCGAGCGGCCTGCAGACGGCACTCGGAGGAGGCAGGCCCTCTGCGTGTCCCTGTACGGGACACACGGCCGTTCCTGTTCCCGGTGAGGCTGCGTGTCTTTTACGGACAGAGACTACCGGGTTTCGAATAACGAGTCCCCATGTTTTTACTGTCTCCCTCCTCCTGTCTTGTGGGGCCAGGCTGGTGTACCTTAGCCTCCAGTTTCCTCATCTGTAAAACGGGGCTGATAACAGAGTCCACCTCACAGGCTGCAGGAAAGGTAAGAGACAGTGCAGTTAGCACATCTGTCCACCCACAGCGAGTGCAACTGCTCCTGTCGCTGGCAAATGTGAGCTAGTGACGAGAGGCGGGACTCAAGTCCGGGACTGTGACTCCGTACCGCACTGATGAATTAAGAAAGCAAATGTATAAAGGTCATGGTGGCAGTTGTTAGTATTAATTAAATTTACTGAGGGGCCACTGTGGGCTAGAGTGATACCTAGCTTGTCTTTTTAAGATTTTATTTATTTTTAGAGCAAAGAGAAGGGGCGGGGGGAGAACGAGAAACATCAAAGTACAAAAGAAACATGGACCAACCGCCTCTCGCATGCCCTTAACTGGGGACTTGGCCCACCACCCAGACATGCACCCGGACTGGGAATTGAACCAGCGCCCTTTCGGTTTGCAGGCCAGCGCTAGGTCCACTGAGCCACGCCAGCCAGGGCCTGGCTTGTCACTTAATTCTCGAAACAACCGCCACGTGGGCACTCACGTGCCTCCCCGCCTCGCAGACACACAGCCGAGGCCCCGAGTCACGGACACTGTGCTGCGGGCAGGCAGCGAGCAGCAGAGCTGGGCTCACGCCCAGGGTCTGCCCGTGGAGCTCAATGCCCACGGTCGTGCTCTCTCCGCCGGGCCACGCCGCCCGACTCAGTCCCGAGCCAAGGGCCTGGCTCTCCTTCTCCAAACACCCGACCCAGCGCCCCATCCAGAGGTTGGTGCCGGCCCCCCGCCCCCACCCCAGGAAGGCCCACTCAGAGGGCTGGGAACTCAGCGGTGCGGAAGAGCACATCCAAGGAGAACTTTAGAGAGCTACAGCGGGCCCTCTGAACGCGGTTTCGGGAGCTCCTGTCTGTGGAAGCACCGAGAGTCTCAGAGGGGCGGCAAGAGGGCCCGGCCGCGGGCTGGCACCGCCAGGCCCCAGCAACACCCGCGTCTGCAGCTGACACAGCACATGATGCCTTTTGTCTTTTAAAGATTTTTATTTATTTATTTTTAGAGAAAGGGGAAGGGAGGGAGAAAGAGAGGAAGAGAAACAGCGATGTGAGAGAGAAGCTTCTATCGGTTGCCTCTTACATGCCCCCAACCGGACACACCTGGCCTGTAACCCCGGCATGTGCCCTGGCCTGCGTCGAACCGGCGCCCGTCCAGTTTGTGCCGCCGCCCAACCCGCCGAGCCACACCAGTCAGGGCACAAGACGCAAGTCTTGCTCAACTCACAGGAAGCAGTCCTCAGCCTCCTGCCGCACAGGCTGGGCGAGCACAGTGACATCTGGCCACGCCTGCTGCAGCCGGAACAGGTCACACTCCCACGAGAGAGGTAATGCTGGACACACTGGGATGACCCTGGAGGGCATACTCACTAACCATTTAAAGAGGCAGAAAACTTTTCACCCTACAGTGACTTAGGTATTAACCTAAATATTTTTGCTCCCTTGTCTCTAAGTATAGAGGCTATTCAAGGCAACGAGAATGCCGGCAAGACTCGGATTCTCACAGTCAAAATCGTGGACCCTGGTGCAGGGCGGAACACAGGTCTGTGTCACTGCGCCGGTTGTACCTGGTTCTAAGTGTCACTCACTCACACAGGAAAGGGGCACAGGCACGGTGTTCCCACCCGACCTTGACAGAAGGCACCGCGAAGGACGCACGCCCAGCCCCCTCACTCTGCACAGCTGCGACCAGACAACGAAACGCTCGGGGCCTGCCTTCCAGGTGCACACGGCTGCACTGCACCACCACGGTCCTGGGACCAACTGCCACTCACGCCACTCGGGTGGAAACAGGTGTTTGGGGGCTTGGGGGCTCATTTACACCTGAGGCCTTTCTGTTGGAAAATAAAGTGTTTAGGGGGACTGCTAGTGACATGAGGAGGCTCCAATGTCATAGTGCTGTTAGACCTGACAGGGACCATCACTTGCGCCAGAGCAGTTTGACAATGCCTCGCCTGATGCAATTGAAAAGCTCAGAGTCGCTCCATCAGCCGCAGCTCAACAACGCCCCGCTCTTTCTTCTAACTCATGTGGTTTACTGGGTGCAAGATTGGAATGCAAAGACAGCAACCCAGCTTCCACGCCCCCCCTCCCCCGGCAGGAGCGCTGAAGTCAGCCTGCACCTGAAACGCATCTAAAGGAAAAAGGCAGGGCCCAAGGCTAAGGCCCAGTTTGCAGGGGCAGGAGAGAACAAAGGGAAAGGAGAACCGGCTGTCGACAGCCAGCAAACGGCAGAATGAGCAGAGGAGCCCTGCGCGTGCAGACTAGCAATCGGCGCAAACCCACTGAGCAACAAGGCAGCGTGAACGAGGAGTCTCGGGGCGTCCTGCCTGCAGAAAGGCCAGGAGCACACGCGTCCGGCATCAGAGCGGCATCAGAGCAGCGGGCAGTGGCAGCTCAGGCAGGCGGCTGCTCTCCTCTTCCCGTCCGCCTCTGCCCTTCTACTCCCAACCCTCCCCACCCGCACTCCCCGGCACAGGTGAGGCCCACTTCCTCGCCCTGCCTGCCCCTGTTCATCCTTCCTGCAGCCCCCTGAGGGGAAAGGGGCAGCCAGAGGAGTGACACCGCCAGGATTACCGTATTCTGCCATGTATAATGTGCACTTCTTGCCCAAATTTTTGAGAGAAAACTAAGGATGCGCATTGCACATGGGTATAATGACCACACACCATGGGTATGATAATGGGTACAAAAATCCCGTGTATAGTGCTCAAAAAACATGGGTGGACATTACACATGGAGAGCCCTGGCTGGCCGTATCCTAGCTGAGGGAACTTGTGCAGAACAGCCTCCCAGAGCCTCAGGTTCCTCACCTGCGAAGTCAGGTGTTCAGTCGGTGTAAGGACTACTGGAAGCATTGCATGAGATAGCGTCACAAACCTTAGCACAAGGTGGTAAGCTCGCAAATGGATGACACAGTCATCTTTTATCCTCTGTCCCTTTTGTCTCATCTCTGAGCTTTCACCAGTACTGAGAACCAACCCCTGTCTTTCCCCTCCGAGATAGGAATTACCTCTTCCAGGCCTCCTAACACAAACAACTTCTCCTCCTCCTCCTCCTCCTCCTCCTCCTCCTCTTCCTCCTTCTCCAGCTGGCCAAACCCAGGAGGCCGAATGCCAACCCTCTGCACAACTGTCAGGGCTGCCGCTGAACTGCAGGCCGGCACCACCAACACAGGTGGCCCGCAGCACAACAGCCTGCCCTTCTCTGTGAGACGGGAGCTCTCAGAAGGCAGGAAACGCGTCTCACTCGTGTCCTCTCCTCGCTCATTCCCGTTCTCCTCCGAAGAGAAATGAGCTCTTGAGAAATGCCAAGAACCCGCTAGTCCACCTGTTCCCCCAAGTTTCCAATACGCTTCACGCGCCAGGCCCCACACCCAGCTCACCAGCCCTGTCCTCTCTGCTCCTCCTCCTCCATTTCCGCTGCAAAGAGTGTAACGGACATAGTCTAAAGGCGGGAGGAGGGTCCGCAATCCCCTGCGGACACTGAGAAGCCGCAGGTGAGCTGCAGGGGAGTCAGAGGCTGCCCACGGATTTATGACAGTGCAGGGGTCAGCTGTGTGTCCATATCCATCAGGAACGTGATGGATACCGACCAAAGGAACTGAAAGTAGTTGCCTCAGACGGGAGCAAAATGGGGGTCCTTCCGGTTATAACACTTGGTTGAACAACCTGATTCTGTGAGCTGTATACTTACATAACTGTAATAATTTTTTAAATTGTTCAATAACAACCAGTTATACAACACAAGAGTAAAAAAAATAAGGTTCAAATAAGCCCATCACAGATTCATGCTGCTCATTTAAACAAGGCTGCTCCCTACTCCTTCTTGCCAATTACTTCGCCACTTCTCCCAGCAGCTGCTCCGACCATCTCTCACTGTCTGTGGAAACGCCAAGTTCTCTGGCCATCCAACAGAGTCTTCACGTGCCTGAGGAGTCCTTGAAACTACTACTTTAAAAAAAGGGAACAATCTCTTCATCTGTAAAATGGGAACGAATAATAGTACAGATTTCATAGGCTGTTATAAGGACTGAACAAAGATAAGGCATCTGAAATGCCAAGCTCAGTGAGAGACACGTGCCGCGTACCCAGAAGCCCTCCTCCCATTTCGTCTCAGATCCTCTCTCCCCGCCCACCGTCTCCGTCACTGAGAAGACCGAGGCCAGGTGGCACCCAATCCCTTCTATTCTCCACATCAGTCTCAGTCTGTCGACTACAGACTGCACTTTTCAGTCCCCCTGTAAAGGGGAGGGCACCTCTGCCCCCGAGCAGCCGCCCCCGCCTGCCCGCCCGCAGCAGCCTCTCTGGCTGAGTCCTCGCAGTGCCCGGGGCGGCCAAGCAAATCCCAAGCTCTGCCGCGTGCCCGCCGCTGCTGCGCGGCAGTCAAGTGTAGGCAAAATGCAGCCTGCAGGCAAAACGCCCATCCTGCACCCTCTCACAGAGAGAAAGGGTGCATGGTGAACACTTCAAGCTGCGAAATTCGGACATGTTGAATGTCCGGTAGGAGAGAGAGCTTGAGAGGCAGAGTCTGGGTTCGAGTGCCGGCTCTGCCATTTGGTAACTGCGCCCCTGAGGTGCTACCTGAGCACAGAAGAGAAAGCGAGCATTTCAAAGTCTCTCGTGCTATTTGTCAGGGACTTGGCGCATACAGTTTCCTTTTAACTATTAAACTCCAAGCCTTAAGTTTCTTATAAAACGGGAGTTCAGGACCTCTAAAACCTGCATCGCAGAGTGATTGTGAGGATGAAATGAAACAGGTCTAAACTGCTTACGACAGTCCCCGGCATACAGCAGGTGGTGCGAGAACGATCTTCCTCCTCCCAAATTTCCCATCATCACCACTTTAACGCCGCAGGCTGCGCTGCGGACCGTTCATCCTACAGGAGAGTGCAGAACGCAGGAGTTCCTCTGCGGGTCGCCTTGTCTGGCCAGAGAGCTCGCTGCCCCTGGGAACTGACGGAGGGGCCACACCCACCAGCAGCACCAGCCGGTAAGCTGCCTTCCTGCCCGCTGATCTGGGAAGCACGGCCCCCACGGTGCGTGAGCTCCAGTCTGCGGTGCCAGGACCCTGATGGACCCGAGACGACCTTGACGCCGAAGCTGGGCCCTCGTGGTCGCAGCGGGCGCAGTCAGTACCACAGCGTGGCACTTCACGGGACCCCCTGCGGCTCGCCTCCTTCTGCTCTCACGGTGCTGAGAGACGGGCCCCAACCACCACGTCCCACTTTATAAACGGGAAGGCGAATGTCAAGAAAGGCTCCGCCACCCAGCCAGTCAGTGGCAAAGCTGGTATCTGAACCCAGGTCTAGCCAGCCCCAAATCTGTGCCGAGATGTGCTGACTTTGCTTGGTCAGTCTTTCCTTTACTGCTTTTGGGAAAGGGATGGGCCTGGGTTACGGGCATTGTCGAAGCAAGGAGGGCAGAACAGGAGGGCGAGTGAGTGGCCCGAGGGCTGAGCTTGCGGCCGAGGAGCCAGCGCTTACCTTCCTGGCCATGTTTGCGAAGTGGGCCCCACAGGCCTTGCAGCTTGGTTCTGCGCCTGTTGGAGAAGGGAAGGAGCTGTACCCGGGGTTGGAATAGGCCTGCGCCCGCGCCCCCTGGGATGGTGGGGCCTCCTCAGGCTGTCCATCCAGGCAGAACCAGTTGCAGCAGGTTGCCCACATGATAAAATCTGGTGAAAGGGACGAGAGGAAGGAGGGTCAGAGTTAAGACATACCTCTACTGCGCCCCCATTCCTGAGGGCACAGGTGCACAGGGATGCGCAAACCCTTCCCGCCACCCCCGTCAAGGTGGGGACTTGCTGGGCTGCAGGTTTCCTGCCACGTCCTCCACCGCCATGGCTGCCTGTGCACGCGGGAGGCGCCGGCAGACACGCCTCTGCCGGGACAGCCCGGGCCGCGGAGTGGGCACACTGCCTTGGAGAGGCTGCGGATCCCTGTTTGGGTTTAATCTGAGGTCTAACTGCAAATACCACCTTTCCCAAGAGGCCTAACACCCACTGTACTGGGGAACATGACTTGGTGCCTAGAGCTCAGACACGGAACTGTACCATGCACACACGCACATTGCGTAATTCCACAGGCACACCAACCACGCAAGGCAGTATTGTTATTTCCTGTACACAGGGGAGGCAACCCTGGCGAAAAGAAGTCCAGGTCACACTGCTGACATGATATAGAAAACCGAGATTTGGAAAACTCAGGTCTTCCGAGTCTACACCTAATGCTCTTTTCCCTACACCATGCTGCTGGCCACGCCCCAGCCGGTTTCCCGCCCACCAGCCAACAGAGCCAGCTGCCCCCACGTTTGTACCGGCAGCCCTGCGTGGACCCCCATCACGGCGCCTCGGACTGCCGGCTGCGCCGACGGCTCACCCGTTGTCTCCCACACTGACCCACGAGCTCCCCGAGAGCAGCGGCCACTTTGCGTTCCCACCCGCTCCTCACCTAGCAGTGTGGTGCACAAAGCAGATGCTCAGCCAATAAAAGTCAGCTTCCTTGCTGAACCAGTGCTTCTGTGACTTTACTAGAGAGTTTGGGATCATTATCCCCATTTTATACACCAAATACAAGTACTAGGGACAAGGGGACTGATGACTTTTTATTTTCATTTTAAAGATTTTATTTATTTAGAGACAAGGAAGGGAAGGAGAGAAACATCAGTGTGTAGTTGCCTCTTGCACACCCTCTACTGGGGACCCGGCCCACAACCCAGGCATGTGCCCTGACTGGGAATCGAACCAAGGAGCCTTTGGTTTGCAGCCCATGTTTAATCCACGGAGCTACACCAGCCAGAGCTGACTTTTTAAAATCACAAAACAAAGAGGAGCTAATCTTTCAAGTGTAAGAATAAAGATTGCAAGACAGCGCACCAACATGCCAAACCCTGCTGTCGTAAAGTGTGTGCTTTCTCAGGACACCAAGGCAGTCAGCGTGGACATTTTGAGCCCAAACTTGCTGTTCACAGAGATAATAAATGGAACACTCCGTGTTTATTACTTTAATCAGGTCACACAAAAGAACGATACCTTTTGCTCTGCCTCCTGACTTGTTCGAAGTGCCTTTGTTAAATCACAGTTCAAAGAGGTGATGAGCTTGAAGAAACTAAGAAGCCAACAGTTTCACCTTGACCATTTTATAAAGGGGGAAAAAAGAGGCCGAGCAGAGAGGAAGTTTCTGGCTCACACAGGTATAACCGAGGGCTCTGACCACTCGAGGCCTTTTTAGCTTCCCAGTACTGTCTCCGTGCACCTGCGATACCACCCATTCCCTTCGGAGGCAGGTCGATTAACACCTATCCCCCCCACCCCCCACCCTCTGTGACCCCTGGAGAACAGGAACAACGACAGTCATACAGTACCCAGCAGGTAGGTGGCGAAATAAGGACGAATGAATGAATGAATGACATACAATGTTGAAATCTTAACTAAGCACACATCTGTTACATTTCCTGCACAAAAACATTTCTTGCCCTGGCTGATGAGGCTCGGTGGATTAAGCACCAGCCTGCAAACCGAAAGGTCGCCAGTTTGATTCCCAGTCAGGGCACATGCCTGGGCTGAGGGTCAGGTCCCCAGTAGGGGGCGTGTGAGAGGCGACTGAGCGATGGATGGCTCGCACAGCAATATCTCTTTCTCCTTCACTTCCCCTCTAAAAACAAATAAAATCTAAAAAAATTCCTCTCTTACTGTCTTCTTGACTGAAGCCTCTAAGTTTCCAGAATACAGGGGTATAATCTGCCTTACTTGCAGTTAGCAGTTCACACGCAGTGACGAAGGAAAGGGCAGTCAGTCAGTTAAACGGGTTCTCTCTTGGTAAGAGAGAGGTGACGATGGTGAGCAGCAGCCCCGAGGGAGGGATTCTGCAGCATCTGCCGCAGCATCTGCCACAGGAGCACCTGGACTGGTGTGGAACACAAAGACCCTGTATAGGGTCTGAGTGAAACAGTTCCCAAGCCCTGTTTTACTCCTTACAGGTTATGTTACCCACGTCCACCAAGTCGTAACCTCTCTGCACTTCATTTTCCTCCTCTGGACCCTCCCTGGCTACGAAGCACTGAATAAACACTGGTTGTTGCCACTGGCGTAACACCAACACCCTCACCGAGGTTTCTCCGGGAGTGCGCGGGCAAAAAGCACAAGTAGGCATTTTACCGCAATTACCATTTGGCTTTCCGGGTTTGTCCCGAGGTCTCTGCCAGAATCAGCCGTCTGTGTCGACGAACTGAAGAGGTGGGAGGAAAGGAGGAAGAAAACAGTCCTGGATACATCCCGGGGTCTCTGACATACACAACAGAGCAGACCGTGGTATCAGTAAGCGGGATGACGCCCCCAGGAGCAGGCGTGTGTCTGTGTGCAAAGGTGGAGCACAGGTTAAGATGCTGAGTTTTGTACCTGTGGGAGGTGCTGACTGTGTGCACACAGCACACAGGGGTTTGGTCTCAGCTGAAGATGAAGGCCTGGGAATCCTCGCCTTCTGCACGAATGTAAATGCGGAGCGGGGCAGGAGATTGACAGGTCAGAGGAGAGGCAGGTCTGGGAGAACCCCCGGGAAGACCTGATCTGCAGGGCACACAGAGGAAAATGTACAAGCAGAACATAAAGAAAGATGCTCAGAGGCAGGAAGCTGAGAGTGTTAGGAGTTTCAAGAAATTACCCATGCTATCACATGACCTAGAGAGAACACAATAAAAAAATGGAAAATGCCCCACGGATCTAGTTTTAGGAAAATGTGGGTATGTTCTTTACTTGAGCAGTTTAGGAAAATAACCGAAAGTTGGAGAGTGAATGACAAGTGAGGATTTGCCAAGACTCTAAGGATATAAAGTATTCTTTCAAGCAACTTCTGAATGTGAATGGGAGAGAGAAGGCGGAGTCGAAGAGGATCCAGGTCACTGAAACTGCGGAATGCGAACACATTTGAAGACTGCAGGGGAAAGCCCACGGACTGACTGTGGAGGGAGGAAGCGAGCAACAAATAATGGGGCAAGGCCAGGAGTAGAGAGAGCCAAAGCCACCCAGAGATCAGAGCGAGTCTGGGCAGACCACTTCTGGGTAGGGGAAAGGTGGTCCCTCTCACCAGACCGTGGGACACGGGTGAAGAAAGATATAACCGCAGACAAGCTCACAGCATTTGCAGAGAAACGTGAAAGAACAAAATACAAAGGAAAGGGGGAGGCAATTAACCACAAGAAAAGAACAAACTTTTCTACATGTTGCGATTGTTTCCTAAGAGAGAGGGCCTTTGCCACAGTGGGTAGACCCTCCTGGCGAGGCCCAAACAGTAGGAAAATCCTGGGACACTGGCCAGCTGCATGTCGTTTCAATTCCTGTGCTCAGTGCGCACTTAGAAGGCACTGGCCACACGCTGGGCACCAGGGAGACCAAAAGCGAACCTGACACGAGGTCCTTGTGCCCAGGGGACTGTGGCCCAGTGAGGTGCTGTAGGCCATCCTGACAAAAAGCAGGGAGTCCAGACGATGCGTCCTCCGAGGCACTGCTTCCGATCTCTCAGCTGTGTTTCTCGCGGCGCTGCCTCCTCCGGAGAGCCCTCAAGGAGAAGCGCTCGGCCCTCCGTTCCAGGGGTTGGCTGATCTAGCCAGGACTGGGCTCTGGGCAGACCTGGTGTGCACCAGTCTGCTGTTCCATGGTCCCCATGCATGGGGGGACACTCTCATCCTGGGGATGCGTGTGCACGGGGAAAGGGCCCCTCCGGAAAGGGCTAGGCGGAAAGACGCCGGCTGCTGAAGTCCCTCGCACCTGCTCACTCTGCTCGGCCACCACTGTCAACAGACTCGAGTATATTTAAATACCAAAAAGAAGCATTTCCTAATGTGGTCAGTTAAAAGTACGCTCTGGCCAAACTGGAAAGCCCTGGGCCCAAATAATTATATTTGGGGTTCTCGTAGGGAGTGAAAGGAAGGAGTCTGTCATTTTCACGTCGCAGTGCCAACCTAACACTTTCCTCTCGGGAGCACTTTTTCATTAAGCAGATTCGTGTCCCCAGCATCTGATATGTCACCTGAAGGAATGAAAGCGGAACCAGTTGTGAGGAACACAAAGAATTCTCTACGTGTTGACGACTTTGAAAAACTCCCCTCTGATCTGCACATTTCCTTCTGATCTTGGAAGAACGTTATCACATCTTCACGGAGGAGGGCGGGAATTTCAGGGGAAAAGGGGAAGGGTTTACAGGAACAAGTACTAAGGACACATAGACAAAAACTAGGGGGAGTGGAAATGGGAGGGAGGCGGGGAGGGCTGTGAGGGTAGGCTGGGATGGGAGTAAAAGACAGAAAACTGTATTTGAACAATTAAAATTTTAAAAAACCTTTTTAAATCTTCACAGAGGGCTTGAAATTCCTTCTCGATTGCCCTCACCCTCTTCAGAAAGAGGGACTTGGAGACTCAGTCCTTGGAGACTGCCCTCCCACTGAGTGTTTGAATGCTGCTGGCGCTCCTCTCCTCTCTGCCTGCAGGGAAGGCGGGGAGACGCAGGGCGGGGGGAGCAGGAGACTTCGCTGTTCCCGGTGGAAGAAGCCTGTGCAATGAGGCCAGACGGCTGGCACACGGGATTTCGTCAGCTAGGCAGGTATGCTGGTGTTTCCTGGGAGACTGCGCCCTGCTGGGCAGGAAAGCTACAGTGTTAATGGCAAGGTGAGCTAAGGGACTGT